TCGTTTTACCTTTCTTCTTGATTCTGTGGGTTCAAAAATAGAACGATGTGTAGATACTGTTGCTTATTATTTCTTGTCTTGCTTTTTGGTTCTTTTTCTTGTATGTGGAAAAGAAAGACTAAATTCAAGCTCACTTTTTAATAATTGAGAAGAAACTGACCTTTGAAAGACTGAAAAGAAATGAAGTTAGAAGGAGAAATTTATTTTTAGGAATTTTGACTAGTGCTCTTTTCTGTGGTCAGCTAGGTACACTAGTTATACACCAAGTGTAGCTATGCTTTTACTGTTCTTAGCATTGTGGTCTAATCCTCCATATATTATTAAGTCCAGATGACTCAAAAATCCTCATTTCTGATTGAATTATCTTAACTTGGTAGGAGCCCATCTTCACTCCCCACTCATGTATAAAGTGACTGGTAATCCCTAGGGAGAGTATATATTAATTATGGATAAAGTGTGTAGATAATGTGTATTTTTATCTTGGCAAGATAGAAAATAGAGTTATAACCACAAAATATGCTCATTTGGTGAGTTCATTGGATTGTTATTATTATAGTTTAGCTCACACTAACGTGATCTGTGCCATTTTTTTCTTGGTAAACATATCAGTGAATTCTGATGGATATCTGTTTTCACTTTCTTTGTTCCTTGGGCATTGCATTTCTAGAACAGCAGGTCATAGTTTTTAAGCTTACTGGTTCTTAGCAGCTTTTTGAATGAGATGCTGTGTTTCCTTCAGAAGCTGGCTTTCACTGGAAATGAAGAGCCCAATGAATTTATAGGTGCAATGAACACAGCAGTAGATGCTAATTACATTTGCTATTTAAAACGTCGGGTTTTTTTTTTTTTTTGGGTAAAGGGATTGTTTAGGAATTGGAAAATGTGTACAGTTCAAAGGCAAAAATGTAGTGGTATAAACCAGCATTTCTGTATATCTGTGCAGCTGTGTAAGGTGAGAAAATGTCCGAAGTGTACAGAAATTGCAGACTGAAATAAGGATCCTTAAATAATATTGCTGTCTTTTGGTTGTCTAAAAAGAAATATATGTTTGTGTGAATGAGCTGTGAAAAAATAACAGCTTAAAGGGAATAGGAATTTTTATGTCAATTTAATTCTCAGAATAAAGTTTCTGTATTACACCAAGGAGTATTTTTTTAAAATTTATTATGTTATATAAGTAGCGTGGTTATATGAATACATTTATGGATCTAGACCTTGAACAGTAATAACATAAATAAATTTTGGTTACATGAATTGCCATATAATTTTATTTTTATTTTAGATTAATTTAT